AATTTAGTCATCCATGACTGTTTTTCCACACCATGATCAATCCCCAAATGCAGAATTTGTTAACAGAGTTTATGAAAGAACTAAGTCCCATTGGTTCTGGACTCTGTGCCAGCACTGCAATAAGTCGAAGCTACATATTTTGATGTTGGGAAAGTTTACAATTGTATCTGATGCACCAACTCTTCTACCTCTTCCCCGTGACCTTTTGGGTTATACTCATGACCTTTTGGTTGACAAGAGTTAAAAGCTTGCAACAGTTGACGCCTCTGTGGAAACAGCTTGTCAGTTTTCCAAAAGGTCAAACATGAGATTGCCTTATGATCCAGAAAGTTCACTCCTAGGTATATATCCAGATGACCTGAAAGCAAGGACTCAGATATCTGCCCGCCAATGCTTGCAGCAGCATCACTCACAATAACCAAATGGGGGGAGTAAATCAAGAGTCCATGGACAGATGAATGGACTGGCAAGATGTGCTACACATGTACAATGAAATATTATCCAACCATAAAAGGACAGTAACTTGATACATGTTACAACTTGAACAGACCTTGCAAAGATCAAGTGAAGTAAGATAAATCAGACATAAAAGGACAAACACTGCAATTTCACTTACATGAGATATCTAGAATAAGAAAATTCACAGACACAGGAAGTAGACTAGAGTTTATCAGGGTCTGGAGGAAGAGGGGAAGGGGAGTTATTGGTTAGTGGACGAAGAGTTTAGGTATAGATAGGAGTGAGTTTCTTGTGAATAAATACATTTAACGTTGCTTACATTTACAAATGGTTAGAAGGATAACATGTATGTTCTACCACTCCCTCCCAAAATATGCACTACTATCTCAACTCTAAATTTGCTTCTACTGCACCACTGTTCTATTGGGTCACTGGAAAAGTCATGATGCATTTTTTCTATGCAAAAATGCATCATAACTTTTCTGACAACACAGTATCTCCGGATTGCTTCCCTGTCTTTACACTTCCTCTACCAGTCTTCATGGTGGCTCTTTTGATGTGAATATGCAACTTTGACCATGTCACAACTGTAACCTGACTAACAAAAATTGTAGGAAGCCTACTCAGATCCATCTTAATATTGAAGGTGTCATATGTGGGAAAATGTGAACCTCAGGAATGATGAAACAAGATTCAGGGAGTTAGGCAGGAGCGAGGTGTCACCGTTTAAGGTGGGCAAAGACAATGATCTGAACAGGTACACAGGATGCTGAGACTAATGTATTTGGGACCATGGTTAGCAAAGTAACAGACACATAACAACTTAAGTCAATAGTCAGTTAAATTAAATTAGAGTTCATGACTACAAAATCATAAAACAAAGAATGTGTGTATTTTGTCATATTGAAGCAAAATACATGCTGTGAATCTACCTGATCTAATAAACACTCTTGAGCAAACAGAAGAATGTTTCTGTTATCCTAAATTTGTATTTACTTACAACATAATTTCACATAGATTATCTCCTTTGATGTGATTCTGGAAACATCCCCATGAGGCAAAGGAAACCCATTCAAAGAGAAGGACACTGAGCCCCTTGGGCTAGGTACATCCTTAGAGTCCTGCATCTGGTGAGAAACTGAATCAGATTCCAGCTCTGTCTTCTGAGTCCAAAGCCCAGGATTCTTTGGCTTTGCCACAGGAAAGACCATGTCAACTATTCATTAAATGTGAATGCCTATGTGAGATTTGGTTCTGCAAGTCGATTTGAGCTAAGGATGTACAGTTGAGAAAGTAGAAGTATTCAAATATTCTTTCTTGAACCTTGAGCTTGAATATAATCAGAGTCAAACACCATTACCCAGAAAAAGTACTCAAAACCACTGTAATATTCCCAATATACCAGTAGCTCAGATATTCAGGTACGCCATGACAAGATCTGAGTAATCATTTTGCCCAGCACCTAAGAGGTGATCGGCAATAGGTTTCTTAGAAATCACTTCTTGAGGCCACATTTCCTGATTTTTTTTAAAAAGATTTATGTAATTTTATTTATTATTTTTTTTTTCAAAAATTTGCTATCAGGCACATGTGTTCACCAGAGACAGAGAAAGAGGGAAAATGAAAGAGTAAGCTGACAGGTCCAGGACTTCAACTGCACTTGGCCATGTGGGAGTCCAGTGCCTTAACCATCATGCCACCTGATGGCTCCCAAATTTCCTCATTTCTAATAGGACAAATATTACCCACCTTGTGACATGAGAGATAATCTAGCATGGTACCTGGCAAAATGGTAGACTAATAACACCTAAAATCTATTCATTGCTTTTATTTTTACTCATAGTGACAGCTATATCCACCAATCGATTTACATTAAAACAATCTGGTTCACAACATAAACTCATAGAAAACTGCACATTTGAGGAAACACAGCATGGCGTTTAAAGATATGAACTCTGGATCCCATTTTAACTAGGCCAATTACCAACTGTATGATTTTGAACAAATGAGTTAACTTCTCTGTTTCTCAGCTGGCTTAATTTTAACATGCGAGTAACAGAATCTACCTTACAGGAGTGTAATGAGAATTAAATGAGTCAATATTTTCAAGGAGTTTAAATATCGCCTGGCATACAGTAGGAGTATATAATCTTTGTTTAAGTAAGTAAACTTCTACATAGACTAACACATATCACTCTCGGATGGATGCTTAAACAGCAGATTATGAGATAATACTCATAACAAAGTGTCTTAGTTCATTACTTCTGCTATAACGACATGCTTTATACTGAGCAATTTATGGACAACAAAAATGTATTGCTCATAGTTCGAGGGGTCAAGAAGTTCAAAAATCAAAGCAACATGGGAACCAGCAGTTAGCGTGATAGCTATGTCACTGGACTCCCACGTAGTCGACCGCGGTTCGCGTCCGAGACACGCTGGGTGCGTGTGCGTGTGTGCCCAAGATCCCAAGAGGAGAATGGAGGAGAAGGGATTGCGGTGTGGCCATCTCCCCTGGGGGGTGATTTCTCACTTTCTGTCTCTTTGCCTCTCTGTCTGTCTGGCGAGTGCACGCGCCCTATTGCGAAAATCTCTCTCAAAAAAAAAAAAAAAATCAAAGCATCAGCAGATTCAGTGCCTGGTGAGGGCTTATTCTCTGCTTCATAAATATTACCTCCTTGCTATATCTCCACAGAGCAAAAGGGGCAAATATGTCTGTCAAGACTCTTTTTTAAAGTTTGCTTATTTTTTCCTTTTGAGAGAGAGAAAGGGAGATAGCACCTCTAGCAAGGGCCTGACCTATCCCCGGGCTCAGCCATACTTTAAACATGGACAAACCTGGACAAACAAGTATGTAGTTCACACATCTAAATAAGTTAAGTACCTGATTCAGAGACATGGGACTCCCTGGTCACAGGAACAGACATGCCCAGCGTACTCATGGAGATCTCGAGACACAAACTCAGAACCTTCCAGTGTGCGGGCCAGTCTTGCAGAGTACTGCATCGTACCACTGTGTCAAAGTCCTGCTCCTCAACTCTTTTATGAGGCCACTAATCCCATTTATGAAGGCAGAGACCTCATGACTTAATTCCTCTTAAAGGCCCAATGCTTTTTTTTTTTTTTTTTAGCTTTTCCTATAGGGCATGTGTATTTGCTGGAGACAAAAAGGAAAAGTGAGAAATCACCTTCCATAGAGATGGCCACAGTGTACTCCCTTCTCTTCTATTTTTAAAAATGAGAAATTATTGTATTTAACTTTATTAATTATTATTATTTTCCAGTTTGATCAGACAGAGAGAGAGAGGAAAAAAGAGAAAGTAAGCCACCAGATCCAGGATTTGAACTGTGGTCAGCCATGTAGGAGTACAGGACCTTTAATCATCATGCAACCTGTTGACCCCACGATCCCTTTTCTTCTATCTCTCCTCTTGGGATTTTGGACATGCATGCACACGTGCCTAGCATATTTTTCAAGTCTCCAGGTCTGGGATGCAAACTGCTCAGTTGGCCATGAGAGATATGGCTGGCCCCCCACATCTAAAGATTATCGCGTGCAAGGTTAGGTTCAATGTTCAGATTATAGCACATGCGGAAATTTTTTTTTTATTTTTGGTGACTCATATAATTCTTAATGCACAGCTAAAGAATGATATGCGTATTTTAAAAATGGGCAAACAAGTATGTAATTCACACATCTAAATAAGTTAAGTACCTTGTTCAGAGATGTGGGACTCCCTGATTGAGGGAGAAGCCATGACTTTTTAAGTACATTTCCTACAATAGGTATATATTATGAGTCTTTTCTCCAGATTAAATCCAGAGAGACCTCCAGCTAGTTATCAGGGTAACTATGTAAGGAGGAAAGGGAAATACTTAGATGTTTTGAGGGTTACCAGATGCTGTGAAGCTAATCTCAGAGCCCCCAAATGCTTCCAAAGCTGGTCTCTCACTAGAGTGGGATCTATGGAGTTGACCTGAGTTTATTTTACAATGGATCTAATGGAATAGAAGACTGATCCTATGACCATTTCCTCATGCACAGAAGAGATATGGGAATAAACATATTTACTACCTGGCAGAATCCTATTGTTTCCCTGGTCCATGGAGTACATGCAATTTTAGTAGATAGAGCCAAACAGAGGACCTTGAACCTGAAATCCTTGGCCCCCACCCCCACCTCGCAACTGCTGTTCAACTACCCAGGCAAAATAATAAACAAAAGCAGCACCACATCATTAGGTAACTACAGGGACTGAGGCTGTTTAACCTGTGTCTTTGGTTAGCAAAAGCCAGATGTCTTAGAAGGTAAACGTGAGTTATTGCCAACTTAATTGTGTGGTGATGCCAACTATGGCTAGGGTTCTAGATGTGGTTTCTTAACTGGAGCAAATAGCATTGTACTATTGATCTAGGAAAAGCATGCTCTGATTTCTATCAGGAAAGATAACCAGATACTGTTTGCTTTCAGGTGGCAGGGACTGTGATTTTACCTCAGGGCAGTGGACATTTTCTTGTTTTTTGATCTAATGCAGTGCGAAGTGAGCTTGATGATCTTCATAGCCACGCGGATCGGTCTGGTGGTGTCTTGCACAGGAACAGATGGTATAGTTAAGTTGGTTGAGAAAGGGACAATTTACCACAGGAAAACACAAATCTTAGACCTTTTCTCAGGTTGAATAGTGTCCTCCCAAAATGCACATTCTTCCTAAAACCTCAGAATGTTCCCTGATTTGAAATAGAGTTTCTGTGGATGTAACCAAGTTAAGGTAACAGCACACTTGGTCAGAGCGGGCCCTGATCAGTTATCACGGATGTCCTTAAAAGAAAACAGAGACACCAAAACAGATATGTAGGAAGAAAACCATAAGAAGATGGAAGCAGAAACTGGAGCAAAGCAGCCATGAGCTGAGGAATGCTAAGGGGCCAAGGATTGTTCCAGAAGCTAGGAAGAGGCTTATGACAGACTCCCTCAGAGCCGCAAAAACTAAACCTGCAATGCTTTGAGTTTGCACTTCTACCTCCAAAACTGTGAGAATAAATTTCTGTTGTTGAAGGAATCTGGCTGTGTGGAGCCAGCAGATGATATAGAGGTTACATCGCTGGACTCCCACATGACCAACTGTGGTTTGAGTCCCAGACCCAGCAGCTTCAAACTCACACTGGGCGCATGTGCATGTTTTCCCAAAATCTCAGGGAGAGAACAGGGAACTGGTTGCAGTGTGGCCATCCTCCCAGGGGGTGCTTTCTCACTTTTCTTCTCTCTCTCTCTCTCTCTCAGGGTAGCGCATGCACCCTAAAGCAAACCCCACCTCCAAAAAAAAAAAAAACGGAATCTATTTTTTTTTTTTTTGGAGAGGTTTTCACTATAGGGCGAGAGACATAGAGACAGAAAGCGAGAAATCACCCCCCAGGGGGGATGGTCACGCCACAATCTCTTCTCCTCCATTCTCTTCTCGGGATCTTGGGCATGCACGCACACGTGCCCGGCGTGAGTTCTAAGCCTCCGGGTCCAGGACGCGAACCGCGGTCGACTACGTGGGAGTCCGGCGACATAGCCATTATGCTAACTGCTGGCTCCCGGGAATCTGGTTCTTGTACTTATTGCAGAAGGTCTAGCGAACATCAATGATACTTGAGTAGTTATGGAAACCCAGAGAGAACGCAGTAGTTTTAAGAGAGGGCCATGTAAAAGGCAGTATAGCCTTGGATGGAGAGGTGCAGCCAACCTGCTATGACCTGATGGGTGGGAGCTATGGGAATAAGACTCTGACCTTAAACTCTCCCCTCTTCTAGACAGTGTTTTCCATTAGCCAAACATGACGAGAAGCCAGAGAGCAAGGGGGTACACTGATGAAATCAATGAAAGTCAGCCTCCTGGCAGAGTGTGGTGGAGAAGAGTGAGGTGCATCTGGGGTGGAGCAGGAGAAGGGCCAGATGGTTGAGCTTGTTATTGTATCACAGTCGGGACCTGAGACTCAGGAGACAGGGAGTGGCTATGAGCTATGAAAGGATGGGGGGGGGGTATATACAGAACAAAGCTTGTCTTACTATGTAGACAAAATGTTTCAGGCCCTTGTGTTGCTAATAACAGAAATACTTCAGTCTGGCAATGTATTTAAAATATAGGGTTTTGTCATTCATAGTTTTGGATGTTCAGGGTCAAGGAGCCCTACCTGGTGAGGTGTTCTTGTCAGGGGTTCTCAAGGTGGTGCAGGGCATCTTATGGCAAGCGCTTGAGCAGAGCGTATCTGTGTCTCCTTATAATTTCACAAGTACTCAGTCATGGGGGCTCCACCCTGGTCCTAGTCTCCCCCAACAAGCCCCATCTCTCAGCAACGTAGTCAGACTAAATTTTCGCCACCCTTAACCTTGTAATAACCAAATCTTGACACATGAATTGTTTTAAGAGGTTTTTGCTGTAGGGCACGAGTGCTCACCAGGGAGAGACAAAGACAGAGAGAGGAAAAGTTAGAAATCACCCCACATGGGGGATAGTCACACCACAATCCCTTTTTCTCCATTCTCCTCCCAGGATTTTGGGCACAAATGCACACGCATGCCCAGCGTGATTTTCAAACCATCAAGTTCAGGACTTGAACTGCGTTGCTAGACCCCCAACCACATGGGGGTCTAGCAATGTAACTGCTATGCCATCTGCTGGCCCCATGAATTTTTAAAGTTTATTCATTTTATTTTCTGAGAGAGAAGGAGAGACCCATACCCACATCCATAACAGGATCTCTGCACTACAATCCACCGCCGTCCCCAAGCCAGCCCAGATCACTAGCAGGTGTGCATGCCCAGTGTACGCAATGAGGTCGCAGGACACAACCTTGGGACCTTCCCATGCGGATCTGACTTCATAAAGCATTGCACTGCTGCTGCGCCACTACCTGACCCTTAACACAAATTTTGGTGTGACACATTCCAAACAAAGTGTAGTCTCTCAGGGAACAAAAGTTGTCCCAAGGAATAACTGTCAGAAGAGCAGGAGCTAGATGTAACCTAGTCTGTCTGGATGAGGTTCTGACCTTAGTCTCTTCTCCTATGATATAGGTAATCTTTCCTGGTTGATGAGATTCCTGGAAGGAGACTGATGAGTTCTGTTTTGAAGGATCTGTCTTTAGGTGGATGAGGAAAGTTCACAGAGAGAGCCCCTTCCTGCTCTTCATGTGAAAAAAGAGGGGTGAGAGACGGGAGCACAGAGGTCAGAGAGACTCGTTCTCCTTTAGTTCAAAGCTCTCGGCATGCCAAAATGCCAGGCCGTGAGGTACTGTCTTCTGAGCCCCAGCACTAGTTTGTTACATTATTATACCTAAGAAGTGGGAGATAACCACCCAATGAGATACCTTAGAAAGACACTGCACCCCAGAAGACAGACGAACCCCATGTCAGTGCAGGTGCTGCGGCACAGATAATGTTTCTATTCTGAAGCGTGCTGAGATATTCCTGTAGAGTAAGACATGGATGTCTGCATCTCCTCTTTTCCACCACAGAGAAAGAGGCACAATGTTTGACCGCTCCCTTGGATTTTGGAGGAAATGTAGTACCACATTCGAGTCTGCACTCCGACCTATTTGCCATCCAGCTGTCAGGCTGCCGGTGTTGATGGGGCGTGTGGTGAGAAAAGGTTTTGCAGTAGATCCAGGCTATGGCATCAGGTGTCCACATCTATTAAATAGTTTTGGGATTTTAACTGATACCACCTCTCAAATACAGTTAAGTGAAGAAAATAAGAATAAGAAAGCTTTATGTTATGTTATGTTTTGTGAAAAAAGGGGAATAATATAGTCAGGTATACATGTTTATTTTTATATCAAAAAGAGAAAATAAAAGCATTAACCAATGCAAAGATAAAAAATAGTGAAGGCATGAGAAGAGTGGAGAGGACACCCAGGAAAATATAACTCTTCTAAACATGCTTTTATTTATTTATTAACTTCATGGCAAGTTAATTTTTTATATAAGTTAAACTCGAAATTAAATCATAAAAAAGGAGATACAATCTGTCAAAACCGAAAGATACAAAGGAAGGGAAAACAAATGAACCTGTGTATTAGATTGGTGACATGACCTTACAGAACAAAGCATTTCCTTAAATGAATTTACATTTCATCTCTAGCCATAATAAAATATTGTTGGCTATTTTTTCCTTTTCTCTTAATGTTTATTTCTTCCATGAATGAGCAAGAGAGAGAGAGGATCCTCAACAGAGTCCCCACACCACCCTCAGCCTTCAACCAGCCTGGAACATGTAGTCCCATGAATGTGTCCCGTGTTGTAAGTTGAGGTCTTTAAGCTTGAGTGGGAAACTTTCCATGTAGGATTGATATTCAGAACATCACATTTTACTGTTGCACCATCATCTGGTCCTAAGATACAGTTGGGATTTTAATGCTCGTCTTTGTTAATTTTATCCTTACCCACAGGATGACTTCGCCAAAGCTATCATGGTTTGAGTCCTGGACCTGCAGACTTGAAAATCAAGCCAGGAACATGTGTGTACATGCCCAAAATTCTGAGAGAAGAATGGAGGTAAAGGGATTGTGGCATGGCTATCTCCCATGGATGTGATTTCTCATTTTACATGTGTGTGTCTCTCTCCAGTGAGTGCATATACCCTATGGCAATAAAATAAAATAAAAAAAAATAAAATAAAATAAAATAAAATAAAACAAAACAAAACAAACAAACCGAAAAAAAAAAAAAACAGAAAACACAGTAAGATTTTCGATGGAAGAAAAAAAAAAACAGAGATACAAATTTAAAATCCAGGGTTAGTAAAAGTATAAAAGGTTTAAATATGATTTGGGAAAATCAGTATGAACTCATGATGTGTTTTTTCTGTAATACATATTCTAGTTCTCTTTACCAAAACCATCTAGAAACCATGACAATGCAGTAGAAATGAACAAAAAAAGGAGCCCACTTATGTTCCTTTCAATCCTCTACCTGCATCCTAGAGTGACCACTCCCAGATTTCTAACACACATTTACTTAGAATAATTTTAATAATAATCAGAATATCTATATAATTCTAACACACTTATTATTTATTAATAAGCCACGTTGTGAGCTTATTATCAACGGAATAATACAGAACAATCTCTTTCGTGCCTGTCTTTAACTCAGCAACATGCATTCATGTTGTGTCTTCTTTTATTTTATTCATTTTCATTACGTATATGCTCTACTTGATGCATATAACACAATTTACGTATCTCTTCTACTACTAATGGGTGTTTTTACTATTTCCAGTTTGGGTTCTGCAGTGGGGTGCAGTGGGGTGCAGTGGGCAGTGGGGGCTGGTGCATGAATGCTAAGAGAACTTACCAGAGGCAGAAATGTGAGCAGAAGCTGGGTTTGCTAGAGCTCTGGCAGCACGTTGAGGTGAGACCTGAGCAGGTTCATGCCTTGTAGCAGGGAAGGCCTCTTTTCATGGTTTCCATCATAGGGGAAGGAGAAAGGGAAGGGGAAGGGGAAACTGTAAGCTCAGGTTTAGATGGAGGGGTGTTCTTTTATCAGGAACCAAGAATATCAGTCACAGGCAAGCAGGTGGCACCTGAGGGGGATCCTAACATCTGTTTCCTATGTTGTAAAAGTTTATCTTGGGGGTTCTCCTGGGCCCTTCCTTTAACCTGAGCAGGTTTACTTATATGCTTAGGTAAGGCTCCTCTTGGGCCCTCTTCATTAACCCTTGCTTTGCCAATTTTCTTGTGAACTCTCCACAGGCTCCAACAAATAGAGTTTCCATGAACATTCTTTCACATGTTTTTTTTTTTGAACATATGGGTTATATGGTATGTTTTTATTGAACATATGATGCATATGCTACACATATGATCATATGTACATGAATGTTAACAGTGGCTATTTTAGTTTTAGTAAATACTGTCAACGAGTTAACAAACATATCTGAGCATTTACCTCACGTTTCCTATAAAAACTGAATTTCAGATTAACAACATAGGTGATAATAGGAATTTACTATTGGTATTTATTGAAAATTTTCTTCCAATAAATGAGGAGGGAATATTAAGAATAAGAAAATGACCATCTTGCAATCCTTATGAAAGTAATGAACTGAAGCAAAGATTGTCATTAGTAAGTGCTGAAACTAAAATGAGTCAGTGATGATGAAGGCACCTCATTTTAAACTCTTTGGTAACCCTTTAGCATCCTAAACAGAATTATTTGCCATTTCTATCAGTTATCCCAAGAGGAGAATGGAGGAGAAGGGATTGTGGCACGGCCATGCCCCTGGGGGGGTGATTTCTTACTTTCTGTCTCTCTGTCTCTCTCTGTCTTTCTAGTGAGTGACTGTGCCCTATAGCAAAAAAAAAAAAAAAAGAGAGAGAGGTATACGAAACAAGATTGGCAAGCTATCATAATGAAAGAGGATGTACACTGATATTTATTTCTGTTCTTTCTACATATGTTTAAAACTTTCCATAATAAAGATTATTTCTAAAACCTATAAATAGGGTTTTCCAAGCAACATAGGGTAAACTTTGTGCATTAGTGGAAAACAATACAATTTTTTTTTACAAGTAGCTGAGTCTTTCTTTGAAATAAATTTCAAGAAGGTTAAAAACCAAGAACTTTGTAAAGCCTATAAATCACCAAGGTATTTACTTTACCATGTTTTCTCTTTTAAACAGAGAAAAGGCAACAGAGAGAGAAAAAGAAAAGAAAAAAAAAGAAACAGAGATAAAGAAGGAAACAAATGTAAAAACAACCAAAACCTTATTTTTTTTAGAAAAAGCAAAAACTAAAAAACTTGCCCCTTGCATCTCCACTCAAGGTTGGGGGCTGGAGGCTGAATTATCAGTAGAAAATCTTCATTTCTCTTTTTTCCCTGAAATCACTAGTTCTCAGGAGTCATAGAAAAACCATACAGTTTATAGACTCTAGATGTCACTTCCTGGATTACCTGATTCTGATTCCATGAAGCTGTCTCACAACTTTGTAAGTTGCAGATAACTGATAGAAATGGCAAATAATTCTTGTCTAAGAGTATGCAATCTCTCGCCTGTCTGGTGCAATTTCAGTAGACTTTTCTGCCTCATTGTTGACAAGGTTAGTTTTACCTCCATTTGCACCTTCATTTCAACATCCTTTATTTCATAAAATGTATGCTTTTCTGACTTTTCCTTTGAATCTGCTGTAACATCTGCCTGGTTCTCTTTTTATGCGCTGAATAAAATCTTTAATACACATTCTTCTTTTTTATTTTTTTCACATATGGTGCATGTGCTAGCTGGAGAGAGCCAGAGAGAGAGTGATAAAGGTGAGAAATCACTTCCCAGGGAGGGAAGGGAGGCTATGCCATAATCCCCTTTCCATCTTCCTCTTGGGATTTTAGGCATACATACATACATACATACATACATACGCGTGCCTGGCATAATTTTCAAGCTGCCAGGTCTGGGACTCGAACTGTCGTCGACCATGTGGGAGTACAGTGCCTTAACCACCATACCATCAGCCGGCCCCCACATGTTCATTTTTATACTTGTATAAAAGTTGTAATTTTGGGATCAGCAGTTAGCGTAATGGTTATGTCGCTGGACTCCCATGTAGTCGGCCGCGGTTCGCGTCCCAGACCCAGTGGCTTAAAACTCACGCTGGGCGCGTGTAGGTGCGTGCCCAAGATCCCGAGAGGAGAACGGAGGAGAAGGGATTGCGGCATGGCCATCCCTCCTGGGGGGTGATTTCTCACTGTCTCTCTCTGTCTGGCGAGCGCACGCGCCCTATAGCAAAAACCTCTAAAAAAAAAAGTTGTAATTTTAGTTTGTTTAAAAAATTCATTTATTAGCAGTGATAAACAATATTTCTCTCTTTTCTGGAAAGCTAAAAGGAAAATAATTGCTTTACTTACTAATTATTAGGTGTTAATGAATGAATGTTCAATAATTTCGAAGTATAATGTAGGCGATTTGTACAGATATTAACTAACTTTCCCTTTCAGTTTTGTTTCCTCATATCATTAGTTCCAAAAAATTCCTTTGAAATCTTTACAAGAGAGTGTGTATTTTTGGTAAATGCAAGACATTTCCATAATAATATATAAGCATAGCAAATAGAAAACTTTGAAACAAAAATTGAGTAACTTCTCTTAAAAATTTGTACCAAGACAGGAACTTTTTATAAATATTGTTGAAAGACACAAGCATGGTCTGTGTGCTTTAACGGAAGTCATGCGTTCCTGTAGGATTCTCACCATGTTCATCTACCTGATCATTTCTCCAACATTTTTTCTATTTCTCTCTCTCTCTCTTTTTTTTTTTTTTCTTTTTTTCTGGGAGGGAGAGGTATTTATTTTACAGGGAATGTGCGCTTGCCAGTGAGACAGAGACACAGAAATCACCCCCCGGGGAGAATGGCCATGCTGCAATCCCTTCTCCTCCATTCTCCTCTCAGGATTTTGGATAAGCACACACACACACACACACACCGGCATGGATTTCAAGCCTCCAGGTCTATAACTCGAACTGCAGTCAGCCTGTGGGAGTCCAGCAACTTAACCATTATGCCTTCTGCTCCTTCCTCTTTTCCTTTTATTAACTGCCAGAGAGAGACAGAGGGACAGGGGGAGAGAGAGCCATGACACTCCAGCTCTCTGGGGCATGGCGGGCATAACCGCACTGCAATCCTTTCTTCATTTCGCCATCCTGTAGAGATTTGGAGTAAACATGCACAGGTATCTGGAGTGTTTTTCAAGTCATTGGGCTGGGGTTTGAGCTGCGGTAGGCCATCCCTGTGGGATCTGGTTCCATTACTCACCAGGCTATAGGGCGAGCCCTCTTTCTCTTTAAGGTGCACTGTCTTCTACAACTAGACTAACAGCTGAGACTGGGAAAATTATTCTAGTATGAACAGCCACAGCTCTCTCTGCCACCTCTTGGTATGGTATTTAGAAGCCACCATATGAACTGTAACATGGTCTGTTTTCACCGTGTTTTTATTTAGCCCCCATCCAAAGTGCTGTGGCACATGTGGCTGTCACCTTGAGCTCCAAACAGCCATCATAAAGAGACTCGTGCACGCACTCCTTCAAAACACCAATTATCATAATCATCTCTTTTTTTGCATCTTTTGATTTTTAATTTGCTATAGGGCATGTATGCTCACCAGAGAGCGAAAGAGAGAGAGAGAGTGAGAAAGCACCTCCCAGGAAGACTGGTCAGATTGCAATTTCTCTTCTCCCATTCTGCTCTTGGGATTCTATGCACACGCTCACACATACCTGGCATGTTCTTCAAGCCACTTGGTCCAGGACTTGAAGAGCACAGTTGGCAATGTGGAATTCAGTGCCTTAGCCACCATGCCACTGGCTGGCCCTGTTTTCGTTTTGTTTTGGTGATTTTAATTTTTAGTTTTTTTTTTTTTTTTTTTTCCATAGGGCATGTGTACTCACTGAGAGAGAAAAGAGGGAGAGATAAAGTGAAAAATCACCCCCTGAGGGAACGGCCATACTGCAATCTCTTCTCCTCCTGGTGTGATTTTCAAGCCACTGGGTCTGAGACTTAAATCAAAGTGGGCCATGTGGGAGTCCAGTGCCTTAACCACCGCGCCACCTGTTGGTCCCAGGCCTGTTTTCACCATATTTAATGGCAATCAATGAATGTTATTTTGTATTTATCTTACGAGAGTTTTACAAACACAAAAGTAACGAATTTGGACTCCACACCCATACATAGTTCATTTCTAAGAAGGTATACTATAGCTTAAACTAGATAATGGTCCCTCACTGAGCTGTCTGCCCAATTTCAAAGAAGTAGATGCTAATTAACTCAGAGCAAGCAGTGGAGGATGTTGGACAAAAGTTTTTTAAGAAAGTTTTTTGCTATAGGATGTGTGTACTCTCCAGAGAGGCAGAGATAGTGAGACACGAAGCTAGAAATCACCCCCCAGGGAGCATGGCCATGCTACAATTCCTTCTCCTCTGTTCTCCTGTTGGGATTTTGGGCACTCACACCTCCCATGTGGCTCCAGTATCCTGCTAGAGCTTCCTACCTCCTTACTACCTCAAATGGGCATCCATGCTGTTTTAGTTACACCGAGCTCCAAGGAAGGCCTTGTACACAATACTGTCAAAAGTTCCCAATGTGGGGACCAGCAGTTAGCGTAATGGCTATATTGCTGGCCCTGGCACCTCGGAGATACCTTCGCATGCACACAACCTTGTTTAGATACCTTTTTTTTTTTTAACAGAGAAAGAGCATTTTTTCACAGGCACATATACTCACCAGAGACAGAGAGAGAGACAGAGAGGAAGAGGAACTCTCCCTGGTGCGGGCATGGCCACATTGCAATCCCTTCTCCTCCATTCTCGTCTCAGGATTTTGAGCTTGCAGGCACGTGCTCGGCGTGCATTTCAAGTCTCTGGATCTGGGACTCTAAGTCAACCACGTAAGAGTTAGCACCTT